TATCTATCTATCTATCTATCTATCTATCTATCTATCTATCTATCCATCCATCCATCCATCCATCTATCTATCTGCTTGGGCGGGGGGGGTTGGACTAGATGACCTACAAGGTCCCTTCCAACTGTTAATCTGTACCTCTATCTGTCTCTGTCTGCCATCTATCTATCTATCTATCTATCTATCTATCTATCTATCTATCTATCTATCTATCTATCTCTGCTTGGGCAGGGGGAGGGTTGGACTAGATGACCTACAAGGACCCTTCCAACTGTTAATCTGTACCTCTATCTGTCTCTGTCTGCCATCTATCTATCCATCCTCTATCTATCTATCTATCTATCTATCTATCTATCTATCTATCTATCTATCTATCTATCCATCCATCCATCCATCCATCTATCTATCTGCTTGGGCGGGGGGGGTTGGACTAGATGACCTACAAGGTCCCTTCCAACTGTTAATCTGTACCTCTATCTGTCTCTGTCTGCCATCTATCTATCCATCCTCTATCTATCTATCCATCTATCTCATCTACCCATCCATCCACCCATTCCTCATCTATCATCATCCGTCTGTCATCTATATCCATCCATCCATCCATCCAATCATCTATCTAATCATCCTTTCCTCCCTCCACCTATCCACCTCAACTATTCATCCATCCATCCTTTTCCTCATCTATCCTTTACAAATTGTGCTTTCCATATAATTTTTTTAAAGGGTTTTTATTAGTTGCAACAAAGTCTGCGACTTTCTCTGCACTTATTACGATGATGATATATATCTTTTCCAGGAAACGTGAATGCAGACGGTGCTACTACAGGTTACGAGAAATCTACTCACACCAGCTTGGTGGCAGGCCTTCAAACCCGGATCAGCTTGAACTAAGATTTCTCAGCCGTGGAAAACTTAAGACAGGTGGATATCAACTGCCAGCGTTCCCCAGAACACAGCACGGATAGGACAAGAATAAATGTGGCTGGACCATTTTGTATTTTTTGATTGGGTAGCTTTCTTCATAGATGGGGGGAATGCAGTCGACGTACTATACGTTGACTTCAGAAAAACGGAAAAAAAATAACCCACGGCAAGCTAAATTAATAACAAATTGAAAGTAAGCTAGATGGTGTGACAATTAAACAGAAAACTGATATATTAGAATTCAATGGGAAACTGATAGGGGGGCTGGGGGATTCTGGGAGTTGAAGTCCACCCATTTTCAAGCTGATTGGATCGCTTTCTGAATAGACGGTAAGAATGCGGTCGATGTGATATACCATGACATCAGAAAAGTGGAAAAAAATAACCCACAACAAGCTAAATTAATAACAAATTGAAAGTAAGCTAGACGGTGTGACAATTAAACAGAAAACTGATATATTAGAATTCAATGGGAAACTGATATGCTGGCTGGGGGATTCTGGGAGATGAAGGACACAGGTGCCCAGGTGTGTGCGAACATGCAGTAGCACCGCCCTCCTTTTAGTGCCCATCGTCTCCATCGACTTTGCCTTCCACGCTTCCGGGGCAGCTGTGCGCTGAGATGGAATCGCTCCGGTACTGAGCCTCATCGAAGTCCAGTTCGTGGCCTTGAACCCGGATCGCGCTGAGGCAGCCATGGAAGAAATAACCCTCCTGAGATTTTTCCTCTCCTGAAATAAAAGACGTTTAAAAAAGGAGTCAGGAATAATAGACACCCACTCGAATATAAATCCGGCTGCATTTCAATGCCTCGTTCGCCTGTGGAACTCCCAGCCACAAGATGCTACCAAAATTCAAATGCGTGCGTGCAACTGCTTCCTATTTATAACGGTCCCGGGGTCACCTCCATCCCTTTTATTTGCGACACTTCTGACAAAGCGACGTCAGCGGGGAAGCCAGATTCATTCAGCGACCGCGGTAACCAACTTCACCACGGCAGCGATTCACTTAACAACAGTGGCAAGAAAGGCCATAAAAGGGGACCAAACTTCGCTTAACGACGGTCTCGCCTAGCCTCGGAAACGTTGGCCTGAGCCGTATCCCTCCGACGACCTGTATTCGAAACCTACCCGAGGGTAAACGTCAATGCCATCGTCAGCCTGGGGAAGTCCACGCCACAAGATCGGAGAGAGGCAGGGTGAGATTATCTTTTACCGCAGATCACTATTTAAGATGATTTAGGAGTAGACTATAGGCCTCCCGAGAGCAAAAACATGCCACGCCTTGATTTGGGCCTAGTAGGCCTCCCTGCACTTTACCTGGGAGCCAAAACGGGGTGCGGGGAGGGGCTCCTGGAAGGGGAGGGGCCAGCCAGAAGCGGTATTTGCCGGTTGTCCAAACCAGTCAAAATTTCCACTACCGGATCGTACGAACCGCTCCAAACCGCCTGAATACCACCTCTGTATTCAAGCCACTCGGGGTGCCCTACCTACACCCCCCCCTTTTTTTAAAAAGCAGGTGTTATTAAGGTCAGGCTAACCCCCCCCCCCATCACCACCTCCAGGCGAGACGTACCAGATTCTCCCCCAATGACCAGCTTTCCCATGTTGCTCAGCCAGAGCTGTTTCAGGCTCTCGAACTCAGCCTTGGGGGTGGGCTTGGAGATCTCGGTGTCGCCCAGGCGCAGCGTGAAGGAGGAAGGGGTGAGGTGGAGGAGGAGGGGGCTGTCCAGGCAGCCCCCTTCAGGGAGAGGGAGAAGGAGGGTGGTCTGGTTACTTAGCTCGGCCTTCAGATCCTGGATGGGAGGAGAAACCACAAACCAGGTTAGGAGGTGAGGGGGGGTGAGTGCATCTTCTATGGCTCCCCCCCTCTCAGGGAAGGGGTCCTTGGTACTCCCAGGTCCATGATGCCCTGCACTCAGACCTTGGCTGAGGATTGTCTCAAGCATCCATCCCTCCATCATCCCATCCTTTCCTCCTTCCTTCTATCCTTCCATACCTTCATTTTTCCTTCCATCATTCCATCCATCCGGCTTCCATTCTTCTTATCTTTCTGTCCTTCCTTCCCCTCCCACCCATCTGTTCTTCCATTTTCATTCATCTTTCCTTCCTTCCTTCCTTCCACCCATCCATCCTTCATTTCATCCATCCATCTCTCCTTCTATCCTTCCTTCCACTTCCATCCATTCATTCTTCCATTTATTCCTCCAACCTTTCATTCATCTTTTTTCTTTCTTTCCTTCCTTCATTCCATCCTTCATTTCATCCTTCCATCTTTCCTTTCATCTGTCTTTCTGCCCTTCCTTCCCCTTCCATCCATCCGTTGTTCCATTTATTCATTCAACCTTTTCATTCATCTTTCCTTCCTTCCTTCCATCTATCCTTCATTCCATCCATCCATCCATCTATCCTTCCTTCCTTCCATCCATCCATCCTTCCATCGCTCCATCCATCTCTCCTTCTATCCTTCCTTCCACTTCCATCCATCCATTCTTCCATTTATCCCTCCAACCTTTCATTCATCTTTTTTCTTTCTTTCCTTCCTTCATTCCATCCTTCCATCCATCCATCTTTCATCTATCTTTCTGCCCTTCCTTCCCCTTCCATCCATCCGTTCTTCCATTTATTCATCCAACCTTTCATCCATCTTTCTTTTTCTTTCTTTTCTTCCTTCCTTCCATCCATCCATCTTTCCATCCTTCCATCCATCGCTTCATCCATCTCTCCTTCTATCCTTCCTTCCACTTTCATCCATCCATTCCAAACTTCCATTTATCTTTCCTTTTCTTTCTCTTTTTCTTTCTTTCCTTCCTTCATTCCATCCTTTGTTTTATCCTTCCATCCGTCCATCCATCCGTCCATCCATCCTTCCTTCCATCCCTCCATCCGTTTATCCATCCTTCCATCCATTTTTCCATCCCTCCCTTTCTTCTAAAGGCAGAGAAGGCCGGGAGCTTTCCCGACCCGGTTGCGGCTGCCATCTTGACTTTTTCGCCTCTCCTGGCAGACATTCCTGGGCCAACCCATCTGGCGGGCACCCCAATAGCCATCCAGGCCTCCCCTCCACCACCACCCAGCAAAGGTAGGTGTGTGTGTGTGTGTGTGTGTGTGTTGTATCCGTGTGTGTTCCTGGTCTCAGCCATCTCAGACGAGGATGTCTCTGCCCCATCCCTTCTCACCGTGTGCTGTAGTGCCAGGCGCAGGACCAGGCGCTCTTTGAACCCCAAAACGGCCACCAGGGAACTCAGCTGGGGGCCGGCCCTGATCCGTAGCTGCACGGAGAGCAGCCAACTGCCATCAGTGGGGCTGAGACCGCTGGGCAGGCCTGCAAGACAGGAGGGCGTGGCGGGCACCTTTTGGGGCGGCTGCGGCAAACCGATTGCCGACCCCTCGGTGGGATAGGGGCATCGCCCTCACCGGGCGTCGAGGGACCCTGCCCTCCCGATCTAGGGACTCTGCGGCCTGCGGTGCCCACCCCCGTACCTGACAGCGCAAAGACGGCCACTCCATTGCCACGGAAGAAGCTGCCGCGCTGGACAGTGGTGAAACAGGCCTTGGCGTCGCGGTCGTGCACGGATGCCCCTTCTTGCCACTCTTGGCTCGTGTTCAGCCAGTCCCAGCGCCTGATGCAGCCGTCCAGGGCCGGGTTCAGCTGCAGCGCCCGTCAGTCGCCGGTGGGGGTGTGTGTGGGGGTGGCAGGACCGTGGGGGGAGGGGGGGGGGGGCGGCAAGCGGGAAGACAGAAAGGCTGGTTGGAAATGGGGGGGGTGGTGGGCGTTGGGGGGGGGGGGGAGGG